GGAGGAAAGGGTAGGTACGTTAATTCACAGTACAAAAACCTTTAGGGTTGTGAAAGCACACATTAGAGCCTTTCAGTACAGCTAAGCTGCTGCTCTGCAACGCCATGTAGTTCCTGCTATAGTATTTGTACCCTGCCATAACTCTTACCATCTCTGACATAACACTGTGTACTCACGCCAAGCTTGTTGAGGGACAGTACTGCATGAAAGTTGGTAAAATTTCAGGAATCCAAGTGATGAGGAGCATGGTACAAGTACATGAGGTTAGTGTAAGGCTTCACTGTACAGAGAGACCCCGTTTTCTCCTTTTCAGCTTTGCTTCCGTTGCCTTGCACCAATATAGTTTCTGTCGTCTGCTGTCTCCTTTGCTGTTCTCCAGGTGCCTGTGGCAGAATTGTACAACATAGACAATTGGCATGAACCTCTGTGTCATCAATCACTACTTTCTCATTCCCTGCTGCTGCTTTCCTAGACTCCTTTTTACTGTACCATTTGTGCTTTCCAGCAGGGCGATGAACATGCGTGTTCTGAGGCTTTCGGCTTTCCTGCTGCTTGGAGTCTCAAAGAAACAATATCTGCTTGTTGCTGTTGGCTCCAAAACCAGAAGTAAGGAGCTCAGGCTCTGACAACAGAAGTCTGCTGGGTTTCAACTAAACGGGGTGGTTATTGCCTTTATTTTATTCCATCCTTTTCCACAAGTATCCTTTTCAACTTCTGCCGCTATTTCCTTTGACTCCACTGGTCTTTTCTTGACATTTGATTGACCTGGCTGCTTTGCTGTCTACCACTGACTTCAAGTGTTGGAAGTAGTAAATGAAGGGAGACTGATGGAGACATTTAACATACTCTGCTGCTGTCATCCACTGCTCTATATCACTTCAGGTTTTCTTGGGTTAGGCAAAATGCTTACGATGCACGTCTTGCATGTTGTTCTAGGAATTCAAAGTACCAGATGAATCCTGAGGCTGGGGCTGGCTACCACAGTACCACAATGTTACACATTTGTGAAACCAAAATTACATTTATCTTCTTAATTGTAATGCTGAATTAAAATCTCTTGTTTAGACTCTTTTCCAACACTGCACTGTCTTGCTTTTCAGGTTTCTCTTTCCCATTAAATGTTCTTTAACTTTCTTGATTATGCTAGTTCTCGTGTTTATGAATGTTCTTAACCATAATTTTGAATGTTCTTTGTTCCTAAAAGCTTTTTGGCATTGACGTTGCTGCTATAACCATGGGTATTTGCAAATCAGCTCTACGTTAGTGTGTACTGTTGTTGTTTCTGAACTTTTTAGTAAAGTGAAAGTAAAGACCAAGTTATTGTCGGAGGCTCGTAGAATGTATTTGCCATCATTTTTTCTTCTTTTTTTAACCAAAAAGAAACCAAAACTGCCTTCCACCAAAGATTTCAAAGCTCATACGTACATGGGCAACATATGTATGAAACCTGCATGTGAGGCTTTGTCTCCACTTCATCATCTTTGAAGCTGCACTTTTAATATTCAGGTTCTCATAATGCCACTGTGCTTTATTTCATCTGTTCATATTCAGCAGAATGTTTATTATATCAGAATTAGTTATAGCTTTTAAGTAAAAAGGCTTTATTTATTCTTTATTACACCTTGCTCAGATAATTTCACCAAATGTTCAGCCAACACATTATTACTGTTAGTCAGAATGTAAATTAGAGGCTGACGCACTTGCCTCATCAGCTTACAAATTAAGCAGTTAATCAATTTTGGTGTGATATTCCCCCATGGGGTTTGTGTTGCTGACTCACATATGCTCAATATCTTCTCCTTTCAACAACAAGCAGGAGTGCAAATGAAGCTTGCTCCCAGCTGAGCATTCGCTGGTCATGGTATTCCAAATCCATCAGTCAGTATATCCTCCTGATAGGTATTATTGTCTTATTGCTCCTGGTTACCTCTTTCCCAAGCATTACTTGAATACAAAACAGACAATTATGTATGCATACTTAAAAGCTAATAGTGAAGACAGTGCTACAGGATTATTCATTATGTTATTGAAGGGGTAAACTGAACACAGAACTTCTGCTTATTTCTAAAAATTTCATACAGTGCTTTTATTAAAAAGCAGGTATTTCTATAACACCTATTCAATAGACTTGCAATATGAAGTCTTTTTTTTAAAGAAAGAATTTTACAGTTCAAATCCTAAGGTAAGCTTGAGGGAGAGGAGGACAATTTGGTAGGTGAACATAAGTTTAAGCCATTTTTGATGTCACAGAAATCCCGCTTATGATTTTGTCTGTTTATACAGTGATTAAGTAAGTAGAAACAAGATTTTGTCCCTAACCTTCACTATAATTTTTAGTCATTTTATTTCTGTTGTATTTTGAGACAGACACCACCATTTCATCGTACAAACCTCCATGTACTACTTTTTTTAAAAAAGTAAATAACTGGTTTTGAATTGTCTGATATATTTATGTGATTTTCCACTTATTAGTGTGTTTTACTGAAAAAGCATGATGTTCTTTGCCTTTGGACAAAGTTTTACGAAACTAATTGATCTAAAATTTAATAGTGAGGCCTCACCCATGCTATATAGCTAACTATTAAACTTTGCCTTTTTAATGTTGATTGTTTGTGTCCTTATTTAGTCTTGAATTCTGTCAACAAGATCTTGAGTTTGGTATAGCCTGAGAGGGAGAGCCGAACCATTCCCTTTCCTCAGTGATAAAAATATTAGGTTTCTTTTGCTATGGCTCTAGCAATCTTAGCAAAATGGGAGTCCAGCCAGGCTTTATCAAGAATCATATTATACATAATTAAGGTCAGGGTGTGGGCTTGTTGTCTTTTGGTTTTGTTTTTTTTTTTTTTTAAACAAGTCATCAGTTCCTCAAGACCCCTGTAGACATCCCACCAGTTCCTTAGTATCTACATAACGTTACAGAAGTAAATAAAGGAACTCGAAATGAGCCACTATGGAAAGAATTGTGTAGTAGCCACTTTGAGTAACTGCATTGGTTTTCAGCAGTGAAAGTGTTTCATCAGTTGGCTTGTTGATCGTGTCCACTGTTTTTAAAACCTTTCTGTGCCATGTTTGCTTGCCAATTAAAGTCACTTTAATTTTCATACCTGCTGGTATATAATTAAAATCTGGATGTAAGTCATCTTATTTGCGACCCTTCTCTATAAGGTGTATATACTTTGAGCTCTTCAACTGGCAGTGCATCCAACCTCTTCCTTTTTTCCTTCCATCTTCCCCACCCCTCTGTATCTCTACCGTGCTTTAGAGATATCACCCATTTCTTAGCCTGCTTCTGAAAGTGCACAGATCTGCCTCCATGCAAAGTAACTGGCAGAATGTTGTTGTCAAATCCTCCTGCTGTTTCTTAGTCCAGAAAAATAATCCTTCATTACTTCAGTCTGTGGCAGGAAGGGAAAAAGCAAGGGACAATGGAAGTGTGAATTCCTGTAATACCCAGGGATGCAGGAGCAATATTGTTGTAGCAAACAAATAATACAGGGAGAAAGTGACGTTTCTGCTGTTACTTTGAGGATGGGGAGTTAGGTTATTCTCATGCGTGCTGTTGCAGTGTACAGCTCGATGAGGAAGCTCTTTCCATCTGCCCTGTCCCCTGGTAACAGAGGAACCCCATACCATGTGGCACAAAAAATACCCTTTTAGAGTGGGAATACTTAATTTTCAGTTTGCTCAAGTAATCCTATTTTTTCTCCGCAAAGTTTGCATTTGGGAATATAATGTTTAGAATAATACTGCTGATAAATCATAGAATATTTTGGGTCGGAAGGACCTTTAGAGGTCATCTAGTCCAACCCCCCTGCAGTGAGCAGGGACACAGTGGATCAGGTTGCTCAGAGCCCCGTCCAACCAGACCTGGAATGTTTCCAGGGATGGGGTTTCTACCACCTCTCTGGGCACCTGTTTGTAAAAATACTATTCTCATCGTAAATAATTTCTTCATAATTTCTTCCTAAATAGCAACACCAGGATAGAAATAAGCCAGGCTGGAAAATCATGGAGTCATCCTAGGTATCTTGTGAAACTTTCAAAGTAAGCACTGAAATGGGTTCCATTGACATCCTGCCTCCTGCCCCAAGGTGTGGCCAAAACCTGAATTTGAAATTATGTATTGAAAGTTGAAGGGGCAGTGTGGTAGTAACAGCATTACTTTTGCTGGCTTATGAAGTTCTGCTTTGAATTGTCTTCAATTAAGTAGTAACTCCTACGTGCACATAAACATGCACACACTGTTTTCTCGTAACCATCAAATCTTTCTGAAGCAGTTCTGAATCTGTAAAGTGATTTTTTTCTTTTTAAACTCATTTCTTCTTGTTTGCATGCTTTTAGGACTGAAAACATCTCATGTTTTCTCAATGGACATAGCTAAGGGATTTCTCTTCTAATCTGAAATATGAGCTTTCGGTTGGTTTTTTTCCCTTGTTAGTACTAAAAAGAATGGATTGGAGATGTTCCTCCAAATTCTGAGACTGGCCAAAGAGAAGCAAAGGGGAGGAAGGAGTGCATGCAAAGATAATGAAGAGAAGAGTGAGAGGAACACAGAAGTTTATTTTATTTCTCTGTAATCTAGAAGCTGGATAGTGCTTGCTTTTGCTCCATAACATTTTTCATCTCTGCAGTGTTTATCTCCAGCCTGCACATCTTGTTTTCCTTGTCTTGATCTCTTTGCTAGGACTTCTGCATGGTCAGGCATGTAAGTGTCCGTTTTACCACAGTTAAAATTAAGCATATATTCTACTTCAATCTTACTGAACCATAAGAATAATTATGTAGCATGAAATTAGTAGACTGGATAGGTGACCCTCCCTAAAAGCAAGACCTCTAGACTTATAAAAATCTTAAGCGAAAACCTACATACAAAAGTGTGCACCTATTATGCAAATGGACATGCACTGTGTGTTACAGTACTAATTATTAATTATAAGTTACACTATGCTAGAAGTGTATTATTCATGCCTTCTTGAGTGTGTCAGGTTTGTGTCTGGCAGGTTTGTGGCAGCAGGGGAGTGTGGCTACAGAGGTGGCTCCTGTAAGAGGCTTCTAGAAGCTCCCCTGGCTTCAATTTTGGCCCCACCTCTGGCCAAGACCAGGCCAATTGGCGCTTCTGCAGATAAACACATTGAAGAGGGGAAAAAACCTATTGGGCAAGTTTTTGTTGGTGAGTGTTTGGAAGAGGAAGAGAGGAGGGGGATGTGAGAGAAACAGCTCTGCGGACACCCAGGTCAGTGAGGCAGGAGAGGGGGAGGTGTGCTGGAGCAGGGACTCCCCCACAGCCTGTGGTGGGATGGCGGCTGAG